AGAATACGATAGTGTACATTATATGTATCATGTCTGTTTATGTAGATTATGATAGTGTACATTATATGTATCATGTCTGTTTATGTAGAATACGATAGTGTACATTATATGTATCATGTCTGTTTATGTAGAATATGATAGTGTACATTATATGTATCATGTCTGTTTATGTAGAATACGATAGTGTACATTATATGTATCATGTCTGTTTATGTAGAATACGATAGTGTACATTATATGTATCATGAGTGTCTGTTTATGTAGAATACGATAGTGTACATTATATGTATCATGTCTGTTTATGTAGAATATGATAGTGTACATTATATGTATCATGTCTGTTTATGTAGAATACGATAGTGTACATTATATGTATCATGTCTGTTTATGTAGAATACGATAGTGTACATTATATGTATCATGAGTGTCTGTTTATGTAGAATATGATAGTGTACATTATATGTATCATGTCTGTTTATGTAGAATATGATAATGTACATTATATGTATCACGAGTGTCTGTTTATGTAGAATATGATAGTGTACATTATATGTATCATGTCTGTTTATGTAGAATATGATAGTGTACATTATATGTATCATGAGTGTCTGTTTTTGTAGAATCACTTAGTACATGATAAATGTAATACGTTTCATACTACCTAAATTAATAAGATCTTGGCAGGAGACTTAAACACTTCCAGCTGTGTCTCCCTCCTTGAACATTGTATTAACATTCCAATAGAAGGCCATTTCACTTACAACTGATTTCAAGAACTTGATAATAACGTTAAGTTAACAGTATAAGTGAAAGTTCACATCTTTAAATACAGATAGGTTATGTTTGGTTGATTATAATAATCTATCTCTTACTTATTAACGTATATAACAAAATGTATTGTAACATTGAAAAATATCGATCTGAAGACTTAAAACGGGAACTGCCTGTTGTAATAAGATGTTCATCTGACGTATTTCAATTCTAAATAGATTAGATGTGACCTGTATCCCTTACAGCTGTCGTATATCCGGTTTAGTTTGAAATGGATCTAGGTCAAAAAAATTATCTTTCCTATTATGTCGTCCAATAGTGAAGATGTTTATTACGGTATTTTTCCAAAACAATTTAGATGGGCGACCATATTCCAAATGTTCATCAAAGAGGATACTTTACTGATTCACAAGAATGTCATATTTCAGGTGTTACCACGATTTAAACAACCGTTGTGGAATTCTCTTTTTTGAGACTGGGAATTACCTTTTCATATCTACACGAAACATTAAGACGTAATCATACCAAGGAAAGGCAACAGGCAGCAAGGACAGAAAAAAAAATGCATCCTTGACAGGTTTAAGTTAGACAGAGGTATAGAATATTTTCTCAATTAGATCACGTGATCAATGACACAGTGGTCACTACAAGATCACAACATTGTTTTGTCATTTTAACAGTAGTATCCAAGTATTTTGGGGCTTTGCCTATTTACCCTGAGCAGAGGATGTAACCCTTTCATCCCCATTTTATTTCCGTCCGCGACCACATCAAACATCTATGGCTGTACGTCTATATTCGAAACAGGGATATGTAATGCATGACATTTGGAAGATCTAAAATGGTACACCGATACGGTCCCTTGACCCCTTAAAAGACACCAAACAGCAGAAAATACAGCTACCTTTCTAAATTGTCCAACCAATGCTTCCACTAACAAGTAAATGACCTTCATTTTTCACATACAGTGTACTAGTGTTTAAAGAATGTGTATTTCAGGTAGAATTAATCAGGTATGATATTGTCATACTTGTACAATAATGGATATTAAACTGTAGATATTTTCTAAAATTATAAATCCCTGTAATGAAATAAATAGTTATCATAGCAAATCCTTAAGTTCAGCAGTTAAGATAAAAAAATCTTTATCATGTTATGAAACTCTTTCTGGTCTCTTATGAATCTCTTACAGTTTATTAATATAAACGACGTTGCATTGTACTGATAACTTACAGATGATTTGATTCTACTATCCGTGACATTCCTTGTGTGTAGCATGTCACTGGTATCTTTCTGCTGCGAAGCCTCTGTCGACGTCATCAGGTGGTATCCAGCCCTCTTCAGATGTTTCGACCCTGAACTTCATATAAAGTAAAAAGAGTGGCGACGACGACGACGACGACGACGACGATGATGATGATGCAATGGTGCCTAGAAAATGAAGAAGACGATAACGTAACATATTGGGTACATGTGGTTATGACGGCGTGTGTCTTGGTAAAATCTTGCAAAATTTAAGCAAATTTACAATAGAAAAATGCTTCATTGAAGCCACGAAACAGGCAGCTCAACCCGTGCATCTTGTTGATTAACTTACGCTCGCTTTAAGGCAGTACCTATTTCATCTTACGGCAGTAGAGACGTGATTCTCGCATAGATTTGATATCTAAGAACGGTCAACAATGGAATTTTTTCTGTCCTGCTTTTGAAAGCACGAATTATTATCGTTGGGAAGACAATTATTAAAAGATTATCAACCTTTCAGCAGCATATGGTTTATAATAACAGTTTGACAGTGACGTGTTAATACGGTACAGGAGACAATGCAAAAGCTCCCCACTGTTACCTACGTTACGCAAACATTACGGCTTCAAAGTAAGTGCTTGTAACAGATAAGCAAACATATTAATATGCAAAAAGAATCTTGATATGTTGAACTTAACGAACAACATTTTCTTGTAATTATTATTCATGACTCAGGTTTTTTTGTTTTTTTGTTTTTTGTTTTTTTGTTTTGTGTGTGTGTGTGTGTGTTTTTCTCTCGTTTTTCTAATTTGGGTTGTTGTATGTTGATCCATTTTTAACAATAAAACAAACAACACTTTCACAATTTTCAACAGAAATTAAACTCATTAAAAAGGGATTCATTGCATTTCAAGAAAATGGGACTCTATCTTCAATTCAAGATAAAAATCGACTTTGTAAAGAGAGTTGTCTTTATTCATGCACCTGGGCCGTTTTAAACCAGACCATACTATGGTAACGTAGGAAACTACATTGGTTCTGGGTATGGGTACGATTCATGGCTTAATTTATAATCTTAGTACAAATGTTTTCATCCAATGAATAATTCTATCATCATTCGCTCTAAAATTCATCCTAACCGGGAAAAAACACATTTCAGTATCAAATTAAATAAAACCCGTGACCAATATGGAAGTCTTGACAGATCAATCATTCTGAGGTGAGTGTATGTCAAAAGCATTTATTAACATGTTACTTTTATTTACTTTTAATACATGAAATAAAATTGTATACATGGAAAACGAACAGTTCAGCAGTTTTGGTAACGTAGGAAACAAACTTTGATTAAAAACATGAATCTTCTCATTTTCCGATTAAATCTTAATATTTTGATACCATAATGTTTGATTGAGCCAATAAGCCCTGATAGTAAAAGATTAGATCTTGTGGAGCGAATTAACATCCACGTAAGCAATCCTGGTTAAGAGTAAAATCTTCCTAAGAATTTGCAAACGGGGTTAACTTTATATAGTCCGTGAGGCGTTAACAGATGCAATTTTTACCAGAGTTGTCGTTCCTTTACTGTTACAATACACTTCTGTTAACAGCTAACAGACTACAAATAGTTAACCTCACGGTCAGTATCATCAAAGTCATCCCTGACACCGCTGTAGACTGTCTTGCCTCTGAATAGTGGCACGGTTCAGAATATACATACGACGCTGTATTAAAATAGCCTGATATATGAATATTTTGTTATAGGGCTACTGCATCATGGGTTCCCGTCTAGATTTTGACTTTTCTTTCCGATCACTTTGGATTTTCCTTAGTGGCCTCCTAGGCTACATAATTTGGGACCTTAGCATTACCAGAGACGTATATATATAAGATGTGTTATATACGTCTCTGGCATTACTGACGAGTCCAAGAAGGATGAAACAGCGGTATAATGCAGTTTAATTCCTTTTTTGACTTTACTATGTTTAACTTTAAGTTATTAGAAGGTGATAATCGTTTGTTTATCTTTCGTATCTATTATCTTATCTATTTTAATTATTTTAACAACGAGATAAATATGAAATGGACAATTCCAGATCACGATACATCACACCTGTCCCTGAAATACCATCTTTTTAAAACCTCTGACAAAAAGACTGCGTATCCAATATCTAATGAGCTTTCCAATGGTGATTCATCAGCAGATGATAAACTTTTCATGGAAAGCTTTTATAAATGCGATCTCCGCCGTTCTTTTACAGTATACAGAAATGTATCAACTTAACATATCTATAGTTATATATCTTATTATTTTAGTTTCGGAGAGCAATGCCAACAGTTATATGTTTTGTCTTTTTCTTAATGTAACCTGTACTTTTGTTTGCCAAATTGTGTATATTGTAATTGTTTTGGGAGAGGGCGTCGATAATGTTGATATAACTTGTGCCCAATCCCTTTGTTATTCTGTGGCAATTAAATATGTTTAAATCAAATCAACACAACTTTGGCTGTTTTGGACATATTATCTCAATCCTTGTTTGTATTTATGAAACAATATCGTAATATGGTGAATTACTCCATAGAAAAAACGCATTACGTTTATATTGAAACACTTTTCTAAGACATCGCAACTTCAGCATTTGTAAATTAACGGGAAAATCACGGAGAAACACTTCTAAATATACAATGATTTCAGTGGCGTAGGAAGCGGGGAGGCAAAAATACACACAGAATTTTATTAAGTTAATTTTTATAAATTCCATTCGTCGTAGTCACGTTATAAAATTACGGAAAATTCTCTTTTTCACCTTCTGATTCACTCCAGATGCGTAGGAAGTTGTCACAAAGTGAAGGGCCAATTGTCACTCCCCTGCTTCCTACGCCACTGGTTATACTAAATCTCCGTTTTATCTTACACCTGATGACGTCATAATTACCATTTGCCAAGAGTAATCTCCCTTCTCAGGAAAGAGACCCGGATGTTATCCATTGTGTTTACATGTCAACCTTCGAGAAACTGCGCTTCTAGTTCTACTTTTAGGGTAATTGCTCTACAAAATTAAAATCCGCTGTTCAAGTTCCAAACACATTTAGAAAAATGCTTGGAGGTTCCCTGTTCAGATCAATGGAAGAAGACCCATTCTTTGCGTAAGTATCCACTATCAACCGACGACATCAGGAACAGGACAGTCGAAACCGAACGGATGTTTCAAATGTGGCTTAGGAATATGCTAATAAAATCGCCAGGATTCTACTTTTAAATAATTGGATTATATTTCAGTAGAAGAAGTATCATTTCATGCATAAAATGTCTTACTCCTGTACATGAACACTACTGAACAGACCGAGGCTGCTGACTGACACATGTTGACATTTTCTTCCCGAAGGGCAAAACCAGGTCACTCCTACGTGTGATTAAGACGTGGTTCGCTGTTAAAACAAATTGTTGCCTTCATTCCCCGTTATCACACAGATTCATCACATTCTCCTAAATAGTCATGTATTATACTACTATTATGCTGCTTATTAATAGTTTGATAATATCTTGCTTGAGATTTGGAGTGAATTTAATACCCTTTTCTACACAGTATTATTTTATGTAACGTGACGCTACCAAAAATGAAACACTTTTAAAAATGATATGATGAAATGCAACACATCACAGCCAATTCTTGTATTTATTCGCTACATAGTGGCGGTTGACTGGTTTCTCGTCTTTGGTGATGCTTCATCAGAACCGTCATTTACATTGAATTAGTTAAAGAACAGTTCAGGAGGTTAATTAAGAAGTTTAAAAATAGATGTATTTATTGACACTATAAATAGAACAATATAGAAAGTGGTTTAAAATGAATGAAACTCAAATACTTACAAGTCATTGTTTTAAACAAGCTCGAATGTGGGATTCTTATGAATGAGTGTATGGAAGTATAGTCTATATAGAAAGTTTAATTAAACTAGTGATGAATGAAATTAAACAGTCCTTTAAATATGTTGTATACACAGTTTCCAGTGTGAGGTTTTGTTCTCAATGCAGAAGGTGTCTGTGTTGTCTGATGATCTAGGTGGCTAGACTGAACATTTCACTGTGTGTAGTATAGAGTTGGGTCCTCATCGCTAAAGGAGTTATTTAAAGCAAGGTCCTCTTTCAGAAGGTCCGAGGTTTCCTAAAAGAAGCAGTATCACCAAGAAAGATTTCAAAATCAGACACCCAATAGATTGTACCACAGCGGTGGTTCCAAACTTCACATTTTACTTTAATAATATTGGACACATACTTTTAATGTTGCAAAACCAGTGAATAATATAATATTCTATCATGTTTTAAAAGACTGAAAAGTATTACGGAAATTTATGTTTTTGATAGATAAGTAACAGAGGTTAATGAGAAAGAAAGTCAAAGAAAGTAAGTGAACATTCATAAAATAAAGAAAAATATTCAAAATTATATCAGTTATTTCCATAAATGAACAGAATTTGAGAGGTGTTCCATTTGGGGTACCCTTATCTGTTGAAATGTATGTTTGAATCTGGTATGCCTTGCTGTGATCTATTTATGAAAGTTGAAAGGATAATTTCGTGGAATAACAAGAAAATGCATGATTAGAATTCTTGGTAGCAAATGTTTACTGTTTCTTCAAAAAGTGTTCCAATTTAGGTAGGGTCATATTATCGATATTTTTTCACTAAAGTAAATCTAACACAATATTTCAACTTGCATTTGCATACACAGTAAATTGACAAAAATGTCAACAGATTAGGAATAGTCTTCGATTTGAAAGGATGGCATGTGCTTGGAGGATGGAAATGACAAACATGTTCACTCAGGATAAAATTTCATTTTTCAACATACTGTATTAGACATACAAATGAATGAGTTTAAGTCGTTTCCGGTGGTGATATTTTATTATGATTGTGCATATACGTATATATGTTTAAAAATGATAATTATAACTGTACGTAATACACACTTATACATGCAGGCCTAAAAACACAGATGTGTGTGAGTTGATCATTAGAAAAATTTGAGTTGATCCTTGTAGCTCTGCTTTGAGAAGGTATATACAAAGTGTTGAGAAGATACATACAATGTCTAATGAAAATCAGAGTTTTGTTCCATCCTCGGGAGTCCAAAGATGTTACAAACAAGGTGATCAATGCATTGTATGTTATATTTGGTACACTGTAATAAGCAATGTAAAATGTCCTGTAGCCCTCTCTAGGTTCAAATTAGCAACCTTTCACTCTCCAGGTAGCTATGCATGCTGCTATTTGAATAAAGAGAAATTCACAGAAGCCAAGACTGATGACCTTTATGCTCAAAGATTTCATGCCAAAGACAATCAAATCCAAGCTGATTTAATTGATATTTGAAGCATATCATTCTCCAAAAGCTTCTACTGAAATCAAACTTTATTTTCAACAACTATGAAACAAGTTGTTCTAACTTATCTTAATCACTCTTGTTGGCCTGGATGGAAGCAAGCTAGGGGTCTTACTTTGGGAGGAAATCAAAATACCAAGGGAAGACCAATGTAGTCAGGCAGGTGACCCCATACCAGGAATTGAACCCTAAATGCATTGGTGAAAGCCGAAAAAAACAACTTTTGCCCGCACAGGCTCTTTTGTACTTCAAGTGTAAAATACATGTGTAACATTACTCGTGAATTTGATTTGTAGCAGGTATTCATTTTGGAAAATAAACCTACAACTATGTAACATACCAGTAGCATTTCTGAATCAAATGTGGGTAAAAAATTGAAATTATAAAACAATTGTATTACATTGTTATTGTAATACTGAAAGTAGGAATATACTGATGTCTATATATAACCATCCCCCACAAACTGCAGATAAATTTTACCTACAGTTTATCATTAATTGGGTTTTAATTGTTAATTAATTGTGCCTCTAACATTACTTAACAGCTAATTATGCTTTATAGTATTGCATACAGTCCAATCCACCTTAATTTGAACTAGAATATATTGAAATTCTGCTTTATTTGAAATAAAACAAAATCAATTTCCATATGCCTTCCTTTGTAATTATGTATTGCTTTATTCAAAAAATACAATCTCTGGTCCCAGGTAATCACATACTTTGAAATTTGCCATGGTCAGCCTGTCAAGCGTTTGTTAAATAAATTAGATGTCTAATTGAACTCTGTTATCTTTAAAAATGGTGAATTTAATTTTTATTTTTCATTTTTCCCTATGGATTTCAATATAACTAGATCTGATTTATATACATTTGTCATCTTTGAAATAATATGTTTTATTATTCAGCGGACATATGGAACATATGAGAAGGATGGATTCTCTCTTTGCTGATCCTTTCGGCATGATGATGCCCCAACAATCACAGCTTGCAGTTGAAGCACCAAGAAACCGGGGTCGCCCTGTACCTCAAAGGAATGCAATGGTTCCACATGGTTTCATGGATCCTATGGATATGTTTGGAGGCATTGATAGCATGTTCAGTAACATGAGAAAAAATATGCAGATGATGGGACAACAGTTTGTAAGTGTTTCCCAATGCAGGTTAACAATAGTCTTTATAGGAAAGTTGGATTTTTTTTAGAATAAAGTTGCTTATTTTCCACTGGATATAACTTGATAAGAATTATTTGCATAGAATGACATTTAGAATTGGTTGTTCTGCATATATTGACACTGGCTGACAGACCCCCTAGGGCATAAAACATATCACTTTAGTCATTAATGTTGCAATTTCTTTTTCATGACACTTGACAGCTACTTATGCTATAACGTGTATATTCAATATGGCTTACACCAAGTGACCTTTGAGGCTGGGAGGCCTCCTGTTGAAGTTTCCACTGTAAAATGGGAAATCTTCACAAGTGGGATCAACAAATGAAAATATAGTGTAATAATCACTATAGAAATTTTATGCCAAGACCGTTAAGTAACATGACATGGACAGGATTGCAATGTTTACCGATATTGAAGAAATCATAGCTCTCTCATATTTGCTTTAAGTGACATGTTTTCAACCAGTTGTTTGCATACAGTTTTTCACATTCTTTTGATTCTTTGCCTGATACTGTTTACACTTAACAATGTAATTTTATATTACAGAATAAAATGCAGTCCGACCCCAATGCTCACAGTTTCAGTCAGACCTCATTCATGTCATACTCCAATGTACCTGGTCAGGGCCAACCCAAAATGTACCAGGCCTCTTCATCCACACGTGTTGCACCTGGAGGGGTAAGTAGAATTCTATAAGCTCAATTTTTGTTTACGTTACATCATCAAATTTTATATTATCGGGACATTTCATTTTGATACGATCGCAGATAATCACAGGTTTTCTTGTTGATGTACAGGTAAGAGAAACACAAAAGAGTGTGAGAGATTCAGAATCTGGTGTGGAGAAAATGGCGATTGGACACCATATCAATGATCGGGGTCATGTGATTGAGAAGTCACGTAACCACAGAACGGGACAAGAAGATCGGAATGAGGATCTCATCAACCTTGATGATGGTATGTTTATCACAAACTATATACTCACTGAGATGTTTTGATCATGTTTAACATGAATGATGGATTTACTTTTTTTGTTCAAAAGTGTTCATCTTGAGTAAAAGATGAAACCGTAAACTAAGAATATTTCAGAACACTTGCTTCAGGTTGATATTGATTCCATATTACCATCTCGTACATTACATACGTCAGTGCTTGTACACTTCACACAGGTCATTTGTCTGATGGAGGCTAACTTCTATTCTATCAACTCTGAAAAAAAGTTATGTGATAAGATCATTCCTAACAAAAATTGAAAAGAATGAAATTGGTGATGTTGCCTCAGAAAATTATTTTCTCTATGAGCAGCCCATGTTTATATACGTCATGTGGTTTGTTTCAAATAATTTCAGATGACAAACATGCATTTAATGAAGAATGGCATGGCAAGATGAGAAGACACAGAGTTGACAGAAATCGTTTGGATTATGCACGCCGTGGAGAACGATCAAATGACCACCGACCAGAAAGATCAGAGCGTCATGGAGGCGGACGTCAGTTGGCCATTGAAAGTCCCAGAGACCACGCCCAGCGAGACAACAGGAAATATGAGCGCAAATATCGGGACAGAGAGTGAACAATATGTGTGATTGGTAAATATTTTCTTTTTTCAGTTGAAGAGTTGCTACCTTTTCCACTCACAAGAAGGGTTTTATGTGCAAGCTTAAAGTTCAGGTCATGCAGTCTAAGCCAGAATGAGCGATCTGTGATATCTCACTAATAACTGACTTTTAAATTGTGAAATAATAACATATGTAGCTTTAAAGAGATGCCTTATTGATCTGACCTCTCACAAACATTAGGTGATATTGCAGTAACAAAACCCGACTGACAGAACAAATCAATCTATCATGAAATATGGTAGTCTTCTGTAAGTTCTGAAAAAATTACAGAGTAGGATAATTGTTGATGTGGTGTTGCCTTTGGCAGTGTCACTTGTACTTTTTGTGTCGCCTGCAGAGCTGGCAGACACTTCGGGATCATTTTGTCTGTAGCCAAGCGACGACGGTGTTGTCGTGTTGTCGTCTGTACGAAAGCTTCCCGGACTTTTTTCGGTAATGCTTTGAGTTATCAAAATGAAATTTGGTATATGTTTGATTTCCGGCTATCTGTGACCCTTTTTGGCAGAGTTATGCCCCTTTCAACTTAGAAAATTTCCTGGGAATATTGTTTTCCTGACTTTTTTGGCTTATGCTTTGAGTTATCGAAATGAAATTTGGTATATGGCTTCTTGTTGCAAGGGTACAGATTAAGTTTTATTCCTGGCTGTCTGTGACCCTTCTTGGCTGAGTTATGCCCCTTTGAACTTAGAAAATTCTCTGGGAATATTGTTTTCTTGACTTTCTTTGGTTATGCTTCAAGTTATAGAAATGAAATTTGGTATTGCAACTTTATGGTTGATCGTTGCACATCCAGTTCAATTTCTGGGTGACCATGACACTTTATGCAATTGACACATACAGTTCCAAGGAACTCTTGTAATTGGCATTTGAAACAGCTGTTTTATGAGTGAACACATGTACAATACATGGTGAGAAGCAACATGACATTTGATAGTTCAATGAAAACATTTTGTGGAAGTAAAGCAACAATATACTGTACCCCAAACTCATTTACATGTAATTGGTTAACCTAGATAATGATTAGTAATGATGTCAGTGACCTGAATAGACCTGTTTATCACTCATGATTGCCAACTGTACACGTGCTGTTTATCACTCATGATTGCCAACTGTACACATATGTGCTGTTTATCACTCATGATTGCCAACTGTACACACGTGAGCTGTTTATCACTCATAATTGCCAACTGTACACACGTGTTGTTTATCACTCATGATTGCCAACTGTACACATTTGTGCTGTTTATCACTCATGATTGCCAACTGTACACACTTGCATTGTGTATCACACTTGAGGGCATTGTCATCTTTTTTTTATGGAGAGTTGTTCAGTTAAAAGAAAGAATTCACCACAGTATTGTTTATGACTTATCAGCAATGTCTAGAACACATAAACGTCTCTGGTTTTATAAACATCACACATCATTATTCATTATCAAACCAGGTAATTAGGATGTCTGTGAATGAAGTTTTTTTATGTCACATTGTGTTTGCACCTGCTGACACAAACGAAGGTCCCAACTGTAGATGTGTAATTGTAAGCAATCAGTATGCAGAGTACAGAATGTTGGCATGTGTATGTTGTTAAAAGAGTAATGGTGTTTCACTACAGATAGTTGTGCCAGGACTTTTACTGTTTATTAAGACAAATCTGGTGTGACTTGTTTTATTTATTATTGTTACTCATGAATCATTGATAAAGAAATGAGCGAATCCTTCCTTTGTCAGGTTTGCATACCTGATAATCCTGGCAGTTAATGATGATGGCTTTGCATAATGTTTGAACTTTCAAAAGAATAGATACATTTTTTAGGGAGGATACCCTGATAGTTCACCAACAATTCCTTTCAAGAATATGAAACTTCATCAGTCAGCATCATTGATTATCAACCATGTAATTTTTTGTAAATCACTTTTAGTTGTATGTTTTCTGTGTTTGTTTTGCAGAGGATAAAAAGAAGAGTGAAGAATGTGAGCTTACAGTTCCCACCTAATGAACTTGTGATACAGACTCCAGGGAAAATAGAAAAGTGGAGACAATTATCTCCCAACAATAAATACAACATAAACAGCCCTTTCTTGATAGTTTGGTATTTATTCAGCACTAAACAGTATTGAAACAGGTAGAAAATTAACAAGTCTTATAACATTTCATTTTGGTGTAGTAATTCCTTTACAAAGCCTTCTTCTCTTCACACCTGGACATCGATCGCCTCAGAATTTCTATTGTCGATTAAATGTGACATGAGACAGACATGTTGTATAATATGCTCATGACCATAATCATTTATTGACCTATCATTGGCCACTTAACTGATTGTCATTTAACACAGATCATTTGAAGTGGGATGCAAATTATTTCTTGGTGTTATGCAATCACAAATCCAAATTTCAAATTAACTGAATATTTAGACATATTAGTAATATTACTTGAGAGTGGTAGTGTATACAATGTCTTATTTAAACTTTTATATTGGTTATTTATTTCTTTATGGTTTTGTTGAATGTAGAGTGTGATACTTGATATTTATCCAATAAGTCAATCACATTAATATGGTGATCAGTCTTCAGTGTCATGTACATTTTACTTGAGATTGTTTGTAAGTATCAGTGTATTTGATAATGTTGAGTAGATACAAAAGCTGCAAATTCACTCCCAAAATAGTCAATATCAGCTGCTCTGCTGTCAGTATGCACGACCTGGTCATTGATTGTAATGCTAAATAGTGTTATGTTTTAAAACTAGACCTACAAATACATTTTGTGCTTAGAGGTGCTAATTCAGCAGTAAATCAGGTGTTGCATGTAGTGAAAACTGTAAATTTGGCACTGAACTTGTAGAATCTGTTTGATATTTTCCTGCAAAGCTATGAAAAATGACATTTATGTTTACTGTTTCCTATTTAAGCAATTTAATTTGTGTGCCATTGTCATGTAAAGCTTAATATATCTGATGCATGCATGCAGAGTATTGGTAGACATATATACCAGGTAATGTCAATCTCGGATCATAACAATACAATAACTGCACTGACTTGATGTATAACTGATTTTTTCCCCCGTGTTCAACCTAATGACCTATGATTCATGTTTAGTGAATTATTTTGGCAGCAAGATTAAGAAAAGTGATTATTTTAGCAATCATAGATTTGATTTTTGGCATCCATTGATAAATTTTTGAATCACCAACTGCCTCTAACATTCAAAGTTCTTTGTTGCTTTACGCCCTTTTAAACAGCCATGGTAATTTTAGGACATGCCTGGTTTTAAAGCTCAAAATTCAAGAGATGAATTTAGCATGATCTACAAGTGGAATATGAATTTAACACTCATTACTTCTGTGATGTTTTAGGTTTAAAACAATTATACTCATGCCTTTTATTCCTAACATTGACATTTAAATAAAACCTCAGTTAAAGAATGTAGAAATTTTCCAAGTTTTTTTTTCCAAGGTTCAACTTTTCATGTCTTACCTTGAAGCAAAAACTGTGCAAAAGAAGTCATGAAATGGATGGTTCTTTTCTTTTAATTTCAAAGTACCTGTAATATGGTACATGCCCTCTTTGAAAATAGTGAAAAATAGAAACCCTCAAAAAGTACAACTATTATAATATTTTTATTTTATTTTTTGAATGTGTTAGTCAGAGATTGAGCCTGCTGTTTAAATAGATGGAGTATTTAGCCATTGGATGCTGATCCAAAAGTAATGTTTTATCATTTGAAGTACAGTAATTTTTTGATGAGTCTGGTTACAATGAGAACAGATAGTTCATAAAAGTTGTTTGTGTCCTACAGAAAAGCATGAGCCCATGGCTCAAATATTCAAGTCCCAAAATTCACTGAGTTATATAAATAGTGAGTTCATAAAATTTGGGTCAGTCCCACAGGCAAAGCATGAGTCCAGAACTCAAATATTTGAGTCCCAAAATTCACTGAACTATATACACTTATGTGCCATTATCTAGTTACTTTGTTGAAGCAGTGTCTGTGTGATCATTCAACATGTGGAAGAGAGCTTTCCAATCTGTCAAATGGGGTTTTTTCTCCATAACTTGCTTGGTTAGTGGTACTGATTCATTAAAGTAATTTGGTTTTTTTTTGAAAAATAAAAGTTTTATCATTTTGGACTGTTCAAAATCAGGATTAGGTTTGATTTTCATGAGTTGGAGCCTGTAGATGTCATGAGCAATTAAAGTATAGAGTTGCTTCAAATGGAAAAATTGAACAGCTGCAGTGATTTTTCTTAAATGTATATACATATTGTTTTTTTTTATGTTAAAAATGACATAGAGATATGTTTAAAAAGAAATCGACTAAAATTTACCTTGTTATTGGGTTGTAAAACTTTTAGAATTTTTGTTAAAGGGGAACGTAGTCCTTTTTTTTCATGGACATTTTTATATTTTCTTGACATTGTATTTGATTTTTTTACCACAAAAGTCATTACATTTATATAATTGGTAGATAAACTATATTTAACAAATATTGGTCCAATTACCTGGTATAATACAATCTGAATAGTTCTGTAAAATATCATGTTTGTTTTCTTCTTTTGATAATCATATATCGCTACAGCACTTCTTATGCTTATGCTGATTCCCTATGTAGTTTTCTAGTCACTCCCTCGGAGAGGACGGTGTTGTAAGATAGACATATGTTTTATTGATAGATAAATAGAGTAGAAGATGAAGCACCTTACATCTAAACATGTGACAATAAACTGAGGCTTAGCAAGATAACCTATCATTAGCTGTTATTAGTTGACCAGCTTTATCAAAGTTTAATTTTTTACGTCATTCTGTATGTAGGTAAATCCTATTATTGTATAAGCTCTTTAATCAAATTTGTTTTTTTCTCTCATCTTGGCTTATTTTTAACATGATAACATGAGCATTAGATTACATCCTATATATGCGCAAATAGTGTGAATACACTGTGATAAGTCAGTACACCAGTACATTAAATTGCATCAGATAATCTTGATCAATGATTCAGGTAAACCCCATAGGTTCTGCATATTTTGTGTTACCCCAATTCTTAAAAATTTCAATTGTCTTTTTTGGATTTTAGTTATGTGAAAGCTTGCCATTTTTTTTTTTTTTTCTTTTCTTTTCTTTTTTTGCAAAATTAGTTAGCTTGATGAAGCATTGTATTGAACTAAAGTTCATTTGTAAACCAACTACAAGGAAAAGATAGGAATATTTTGGTTGTTTATATAGTTTTGAGATTTAATAAAAATTGTTTAGGGTCAGGAATAGGTTCTGTGAAACTACTTCTACTATATAAGGAGTCTGTGGGCCATGATTGACACATGGCCTTTATTGGAAATTTAATGGTTGACCTCCAAACTGTTTTTTTCTTGTTCTTTGGAAAAATATCTACATTTCATAGTATGGAATATATTCAAACCCTCTCAACATTTTGTTACTTAGCTTACCAAGAGCTTTGTAGTTTCAATGAAAACAAATATGAGAAATTACTGGAAAAATAAATGCATATTACTGACATTTATTAAATACACAACTTTTCGCTATTTCTGAAGAAAACAGTTTCCGATATTCCTGTGTTTTTATGTCCAGCTGGTCTGTTTAGGGTCCGATATTCCTGTGTTTTTATGTCCAGCTGGTCTGTTTAGGATATTATGAAGGGTCACACAGTACATTTTGTTTGTGATTTTGTATTGAATTTGCAGATGATGTACATTCCGTAGATGTTATTGTAATGTAAACTACAGATGTTGTATAAAGTCTTCAAGATTTTGTTTCTGAATTTAAGTAATACATGTAATTATTCCGGTCTTGTTAGAGGGTGATTTGTTTCCAGTTGGTTAACAGTTTTTTTTTTTTTTACAAATGTTTCAACAACTCTTGAAGGTGTTGGCATTTCACATACTTCATTTACTAGACATATACATATTATTTGAAGGTCCCCATCAGAGAAGACAGTAAACTTGGTGACTATTTTTATCAAGATGGTAATCATGGTATTTCACCAGTTTCTAGTTACTAATACAACCCCAGTATAGGACCTTGGTGAATTGTTACCATACACTTTTTCCACACAAAAAGATAATATGTTCATGAACTTTTGATTTTTAGGTATTATTAATAAAAGGAATGTTTTTCCATTGTTGAATTGGATATTAAGGGTGCATTTTTCTTACATACACTGAATATGATAAGATAGATGTGATATTTATTGTATATAGTGGTGTGTAATGATAAATAAACACTCAGTCAGCATTACAGACTTCACCTTGTGGTTTGTGTGTGGGACACCAGCTTTGACCTCTTAGTGTATAGGATGTATCATATACAGTTCAATCAAAGTAATTCCCTTTGTCAGTTTCTATGATGATACCTTTACCATGTTGTAAACAAGTAACTTTTTATTAACAAAGAAAGTTGTTACAAGTTTATGAAATGACCACTTGATGCAAATCCACCTTTACGCTATAGGTGTTTCACCAGATAGCCCTGTATTGCATCAGGTTGATTATTTTGGAGCACAGCCCATCTTCGTGCAATGACTTTTCATTAATCATTTATCATAACGAGAAATTTTAGCCGCCCATGCATGGGTTGGCATTCAGGCAAGGTTAATCTTATTTACAAAACTGATGGAGTTTACACAACATCAAATGTGTATGAAGATGTACTTTTATGGAGAACCATGAAATTTTAGCTCCACAAAAATATAAGAAGTGTACTATATTCGGTAAAGGATATGTACAGACAAGATAGGCAAGTCGAGGAGATAACCTTTAAATCATTGGTCGACTGGACGTTAATAAGAGAAGATTAAGCTCATGGACATTTGGCATTTTTAGAGCAATACTGTGATTGATGAATTGATGCTTCTTCACAGCGTGGATCGATTCATATTCTTTTTATTCAAAACAATGTTGGTCACTGCAGGTGGCAGTATCAAAAAGTCCGTCAAGCAGACAAACACAAGGACAGCTTCACTTGGAATGATTTCTCCATATCAAGAATTAGTTTAACATAGTCTTATATAGCTTATGTAGATGTCATAATCCGATCGTGTATGGACGGCAGGTTTAAAAGAAGGAAGACATTTCTTGAAGTCAAAGTGAGAGAGAAAAAGTATGTTTCAATTTTACAAGTTATTGCAATTGAAGATGACATATTTTTTTCTTACCAAAAATCTCAAAGTATCTGCTGGACGTACGACAGCCATTCGTGTATTAATATGAATCACCAGTAGAAAGGAAACAGGACAAAGGAAATCAATCCAGCATTAGGGGAGCAAGCCCCCTCCCTCAAAATCATTGTCACAGTTTCGCCCCTGGCCTCAGATGTGGACCATGTAATCTGTCACTTTGCACTACACATGGGACTGCACTTCTTTACATAAAGATATACAGAACCAATTCAGGGAAAATGGTATAATCAGAGTCGGAAACTCTACAAAAAATGGTGGATTTTTCAGTTTAAAAAGTGCGCCCCCTACAACTGAAGCACTGGATCTTCACCTGGTTCTATTTAAACAAGAGGCCCAAGGGTCCTGACAGTTATTTAAGTAACAATGCTGTCGTTATTCTTGTAACCTATCATAGAAAGACTAGTTACATTGTACATGTAATAAAATAAGACAATGTGCATAACATTTTAACTGCCATCCATGTAAAGGCTTCTATCTACATTTGTTTAAGTCACTATCAATTTACACATATTATCAAACTGTATCTTATACTATTAATTTTAAGCAAGTTTATGCTATTTCTAATAGCAAAGTAATTATGTTCAAAAATGTATTACTTCAATGCAAACTTCAATGAAATTTATCCCCCCCCAGGGGAAAATGCGAGAAAATGTCATTAAGAAATTTGCTATTTTAGTAAAGCACCTTCAGACACTCCCTTTCATGAAGAGTGTTTCATTCTACCTTACCTTTGTATAGAGAAGATTTTAAGGTCATCAGACCCGAAGGGTCCGATGACCTATAGTCATCATGCTTCGTCCGTCGTCGTCCGCCGTGCGCCGTCCGCCGTGCGCCGTCCGTAAACTTTTCATTCAAACGACTTCTTCTCAAATACTAGAAGGTCTAGGGGGCTAATACTTGGCACAGAGGATACTGGCATGGAGCTCTACCAAGTTTGTTCAAATGAATGACCTTGACCCACTTTAAAGGTCACAGGGGTCAAATATGTTAAAATCTTTAAACAACTTCTTCTCATTAACCAAAAGGCTCAGAGTGTAGATATTGGGCCTGTGACATGCTGGGATGAAGGACTACCAAGTTTGTTCAAATGAATGACCTTGACCCACTTTAAAGGTCACAGGGGTCAAATATGTCAAAATCTTTAAATAACTTCTTCTCAAATACTAGAAGGCCTAGGGGGCTAATACTTGGCCCATAGCATGCTGGCATGGAGCCCTACAAAGTTTGTTCAAATGAATGACCTTGGCCCACTTTCAAGGTCACAGGGGTCAAATATGTTAAAATATACAAAGGACTTCATCTCAATAAGCAAAAGTCTATGAGTGCCGATATTGGGTCTGTAGCATGCTGGGAGGAAAGGCTACCAAGTTTATTCAAATGAATGACCTCAACCCACTTTCAAGGTCACAGGGGTCAAATATGTTAAAATCTTTAAACAACTTCTTCTCATTAACTAAAAGGCTCAGAGTGTAGATATTGGGCCTGTGACATGCTGGGATGAAGGACTACCAAGTTTGTTCAAATGAATGACCTTGACCCACTTTCAAGGTCACAGGGGTCAAATATGTTAAAATATACAAAGGACTTCATCTCAGTAAGCAAAAGTCTATGAGTGCCGATATTGGGTCTGTAGCATGCTGGGAGGAAAGGCTACCAAGTTTATTCAAATGAATGACCACAACCCACTTTCAAGGTCACAGGGGTCAAATATGTTAAAATATACAAACGACTTCTTCTCAACAAGCAAAAGTCCATGAGTGCTGATATTGGGCCTGTAAGATGCTTGGAGGAGAGGCTACCAAGTTTGTTCAAATGAATGACCTCAACCCACTTTCTAGGTTTGGCTTGCTTTTTGTCAGATGACCGTTAAGGCCCATGGGCCTCTTGTTGAAATTTCCGTCAATTTGACCTTTGTTTGGTCCCGCCCATCAGCCCTTGAGGTCAGCCGAGGTCAATATATGCATATCATCTGGCATCCTATGGTACCAATTCTGACCAGGTTTGAGATCCTGGGGTCATGAAATTTACATTTTTAATAAAGCATATTAAGGACATTCTGTCCATGAAGAGTATTTGATTGTACATGAACCATACTTTGAATCATTTTAGCCCCGTCTTTCAGGCCTCATGGGGATGGGTGGGGAAAGGGGGGTGGGGTTGACAATTTACAATTTTACATGGAAAAATCTGAACAACCCGAGACAAATTATATGACTACACAATAGAAAAACCAAAAGCATTGTGACATATTAGAAGATATTGTCATCACAGGAACCTAGTATTAGGAACATTTAAACTAGAATGTCAGTATATTGGTTAAAGTTATATCCCCAGAATGTCCGTGTTGTAATTCAGATGAGAAAATGGATAATATTTTTCTATATTGATAATTCGACAAGGAAGTAAAATATCTTGTTTCCGAATTCAAAAAATTAAAAAAAAAAATCCAATACAAATCCATCAGCCAGGTATCATTATATCAAAATGAAATGTAAGTGGATTGACTGTTCATAGAATTCTTAAAGCTTACAATGCAAGTAAAAAAAAAGACATATATTGGGGAAAAAAATAGAATGCTTCCGAGACCTCTCCTCCATGCTAACGATATAACTTCCCCCATGGTATCTAAGGAAGCGGCAGACGTTTTAGTCCAAGCCTTGCTTGGAAAAGAATATGGGCACCCGAGGGTGTAAAAGGCATGCCACCTGTCAAACTGGTTGTCATTATTTCAATGTTGGCACAACGCGACTAACAGGTATATTGCATGGGAACATTTACGTTGTTTTCATATTGAAACAACTTCGGGGCGAAAAGATGAAGATTAACGTTCTGTCAGAGCGACAAAATGAAAACAAACAAAAAAAAAAAAAACCAAAATAGCGGAAATCAGTCACCATAATGGGTTACAGTCACATTTGCTCTCTGCACATTCTCAGATGTACATCAAACGCTTTCAACTTGATTTGAATTGTCGCTCCTCTGTAATCTTTAATAGGAGAGTACCAGCCCGTGATTTGTCCATTTTTTTCTCCTGGAACCAATGAAATTACTTTGCTTTTGCCTTCAATGACTTGTTCCAGGGTTGCAGAGAGCGAAAGTGATTGTAAGCCCTGTATATGGAGGATGCATTCTTTACAACAGGTAGTATTCTCAGGATACACAGACAGACTTTACCAGGTAAGATTACTTCTGATCATCTCATTCATTGGTGCATACTTACACATCATGAGGTCTTTGGTGTCCTCCTCCTTCCCCAACCCCCGCATAAACATTTGTAAAAGTAGTTTAAACGAACATCGAAGGCTGAAAATTGTCCCCCGTGATTCCGAGCGGAATGCTCGATGCCGGAACTGTGCACATAAATAAAATAACACACACAATCACATATCATTACATAAATGGGTAAAATAGTCTACATATACAGTAGGGACAGATTGCGACCAAATTACACTAAAATTATATATATATATATATATATAAACAGATAAAACCACAAATACAAATTGTTTCTAACGACCATCACACCGCCTTTTTTGTAAACAGAAATATACGAATGTATCCACTACTAAGTTCTGTATAGATCAAATCAAGGTGAGTCCTGTTGGTCCAACGGAAATTAACTGATCATTCAGTCAGATTCGGGCTAGAGATCTTGGCCAGTGGTACATGGACTCACTAAACGCAGGTAAGGCAAATTAAGATACATAAATCTTGGATGATAATAGGGAGATACAAAAAGACATAAATGGAAATCCATTTGTCCATAACAAACAACCAAACAAAAAGTATACTTTAAATACTGATTTGAAAAATAAAATAGAATTGCAAACAATTCCAATTCCACAAACGTACACCAACAGATATTGACATAGGTCTGCTATACACCAAGACTCCATCCTTATCCTACCCCATTTCTCACCCAATAAAAAAAAACGCAAACCAAAATAACAAATCTGACGTTCGTGTTACTTTTGACGGTCTGGCGATCGCCTTCTTCCAGGTGTCGAGAAAAATCATAAGTTGTGCCAAGCGTCTAAATGATTTTGCCTTCGCTTGCTAGTACTATGGTTAAAATAAAGGAGGTTCATATTGTATAGACTGTACATGCCCATGACAAAATTAACACAGACAAAATGCTGGATACGTGCACAAATTTAGTTAAGCACAGCCTATAAGTGAAGCCACGAAACAGGCTCTTCTAATTAACATCAATGTTATATAAAAATATCTATACAGTAATGTACATACGTATGGATAACGAAAATTCATATAAAATGATAAAAAAAGTAGTAAAAGTGGGGCTCGTCCGGGATTCGAACCCGGGACCTCTCGCACCCTAAGCGAGAATCATACCCCTAGACCAACGAGCCATGGTAACGAGGCGAAGACTTAAAATATATGTACTTCAGTTGTAAATATCTGTCAATCTAAGTTATCATAACGTTTGAATGAATGCAAGTTTTTCGTAAATAGCGGACAGGAAAAAGACTCCCGAAAGAGGAAGTTTTAGTCTGTATTAAACAAACACGACTCCTTCACATACCGAAACTTTAACTTCCTTCTTACAGAAGATTTGACGAATTTCAAACATGGCATGGCCTGTTCGTGTTATTCTCATAGCCGTTTTAATGGTTGTTACTGGCTCAATCAACACTTTATCAACAAAGTAAGTAACTAGAGGAATAAGGGCTGTCAGGCTGGTGAAGTAGTATTTTGGAACAAAGCTGAATGTCACATGACTATGACTTATGGCCTGTCATGGAGTGTTATAGAATTAAAAACAATGACAATACTCATTATCATATTCGATTTACTTTGAAACTACAACACTTTAAAAGTTCAACGTTACAGTTGACAAATTACTCTTTCAACACGGCGAGAAACTGACACAACGTCGCCGATAAAGCGGTCGACCAGCAGTCTTATTCACGTTCTAACAAATATAAAATTAATATGGAAATAAGAAATACAGATAAATCTATGGACATTTCTATTACTCCTAAGACTGATATACCTAAAATGAGTGTTTGTACATTGAGTAATTGTAGTATAAAAGGTTCTGACTAGGCCTATCCGCGATTTCTCAGACTGCGATCAAGACAAACTATCAAATCTAAAATCGTGGAAAGATTGTGAGAAACCTACGGGTTATAACATGGGAAGTGGGGTTGGGAGTTCAAACCTGTGACCCTCCAAACTCTTAGAGGGATGCTGTACCAATAGAACTACTGAGCTGTTCCTGGATAATTGACCCAGTCCAGTTCTTTTAAACATGTAATAAAGTTCATTATTCTATATTTATTCTGCAAACATTGTTACTTATATAAAATACAGAATCATACATATATAAGTTATTAATGTCGGTTGGAAAACAGTTATTTCATCCCATCATCATCAAATGGTGGGCTATTCAAATTGCTCTGAATCCCTGGTCTATAGTCTGTCCGTCCGTAAACAGATTTTGTTATAACTATTTCATAAGAAGTACTGGATGGATCTTTCTCCAATATCATATGTAAGTACCCCTCCATCCTTAGTTGTGCCCATTCAATTTTGGGTCTGATCAGAAAACAAATGGCCAAAAGGCAGCCATCTTGGATTTTGACTTCAAAAGTTTGTTATTGCTATTTCTTGAAAAGTATGTGACAGATCTTTCTTAAATTTCATATGTAGGCCCCCTTGGTCCCTAGTTGTGCCAAGTTGATTTTGGGACTGATCAGAAAAACAAAATGGCTGACAGGTAGCCATCTTGAATTTTGCTTAGTAAATGTTGTTATTGCTGTTTCTGAAGAAATACTGAATGGATACCTCTGAAATTTCATATGTATATCCCTTTGATCTCTCCTTGTGTTTTTTTTTTTTTTTTTTTTTGCTTTTGGGACTTATCAGAAGAAACAAAATGGCTTCCAAGTGGCCATTTTGTATTTGGCAGGTAAAGATTATCATTTATTTCTGCAAAGGAATGTTCAAATGTCTTTTCATTAAGAGCAAAAACAGAGAAAAGAAGGGAAGAGATCCAACATGTAAAGAGCATGTAAAGATCAATGGTGGGCGCCAAGATCCCTCTAAGATCTCATGTTTATTTTAAACAGGTCTCTGTATTCCAAAAGAATCCATCATTAGAGAACTACCAAGATGTTTGAAATAAAGACATTGGATCTCATTTTCCTATCATGATGACTTATTTGACAATTATTGTCAGATTATGTAAAGATGAAACCTATAATGTTCACGTGTAGATATAATGATTGAACATGAAATTGATTTACAACATTTTCATTGTTGGAACAATGTTTGATACCTCAGGGATCAGTGTTTGTAGTATACTTGTGTTTTATTACAGATGGGCTGATAGACAGAAAGCTATAGGAAATCCAGACCAAAATGAACATTCATTTGATCATCCTTTCTTTCAGGTATCTATTTTTTTGGTAAAAATACTTGGTATATCGGGAATCTTTTGCAGTTATCTATTTTTTGCAAATTTAGCAACCCTTTCAAAATCACAAAACATTAAAATCGCAAATATTGCATTTTTTCTTCTTTTTATTTCAAATGCAAAAGTAGTGACTGTAAAGCTGATGTATCTACATGTAACTGAACACTTTCTTGTTGTGAATACTCCTATTGTATATAAATACTGGTCAGTATGTAGATCCTATCTAGTTTGACTAGTTAGTTAAATCTCCAGTCATGCAAGAATCAACACAAATATCCATTCTTAAGTATTCAAAGTCTTCAAAAGAGGCTTTCCAAATTTCTGAGACAATTAAATCGCAAAAAGTAAAACAAGCAGAAATTGCATTTTTGCACATTTTGAGAATTTTGGCAAAAATTTCACAACATAAAAATATCCCAATATAGGGCATGTTGTTTAAATATATATGTCTGTAATGGGGCTTTCATTCAGTTGTATTACACATTGGTATCTTATACATGCACTTCTCTTATCAGTGGAGTCAATACGTAAATCACATATAGATGTTATGTAATTTGCACCTTTTAATCATAAACAGTATACTATAGATATAAGAGTGGGAGAATCTGAAATCAATGACTTTTAGATATCTAGGTCCTGGACTAATGTTGTTCCTTTGGGACTTTAAGTATTGGGACTAGTGTTCTGGACCTGCCAGAAAATTCCTACAAAAATTGATGATATTTGGGTCTGTCCCATGAACAGGGATATCCCAACCTGAATGTTAGGCTGGTTAGCAAAATGCTTACATAAGGGTTGGCATATTCCTGTTCATGGAACAGACCTATGTTTCATTATTTTTCTCCTGAACTTCGAAAGATCAGATAAATTGTGAGTTGATGTGAAACATATTCATGGCCGCCATCATCAATGTACAATGAAATGTGTCAAATATGTCATCATTATCAATATCTAACAAGATAGTTCAGTTTAAATATGTCAGGATATGATTTCAGATATGTAACACAGAACTAAAATATTGATATTTATATTACAAAGGCTGTTGGTATGTTCCTGGGTGAAATGACCTGCCTTGTAGCGTATGCTGTGGTTTTAATGAGGAAACGTCACCAGGGGGACCGGGAGTATGGAAGTCGATGGGTGAACCCTCTTGTCTTTGCTCCACCAGCCATTTGCGACATGTGTGGAACATCACTGATGTACATAGGCCTCACTTTGACTTATGCCTCAAGTTTTCAGATGCTTAGAGGTAAGATTAATTCTTTTCACACTGAACATATCTGTGTTACATACATTTCAGCATAAACATATTCTTCATATAGAAGACTTATTGCATCTACATTTTGTTTTCAGGTGCAGTAATCATGTTCTTTATTTAAAAGACTTCCTGTATCTACTACAGATTTTTTTTTATATATTTCAGGTGCAGTAATCATCTTCACTGCGCTTCTATCTGTGGCATTTCTAGGTCACAACATAAAGGCCAGAATGTGGGCAGGTATTCTCTGTGTCATATGTGGTTTGGGAGTTGTTGGTGTCTCTGATGTCATATTTGGTGACAAGAAATCTAAAGACATCAATGGAATAATAGCAGGTATAGTTAAATCACGTCATAGCTTTTGTTATCATATCGTATTGGATAGGAAACTTAGAATTGAAGTTGTAAATAATCTGCTTCAATTTCAGCAGAAATTTTGATATCATCTTCAAAACTTAGGAGAATCTAAAAAAAAAAAATGTCTTATCTTATCTTCAGCTCTTTTGTCAACACTTGCATATTTTTTTGCTTGGAAAGTAATTTATGGTCTGTAATGAACTTTTTTTTATGTTATACAATGATATATATGCTGGGTAAAAATAAAAACAAGACAAGAAAAAGAAACATATCAAACCAGTTTTCATTATCGTACCTTGTTTATTTGCCCCAAAAATGGCTTCAATTACAATCATGAGGCTAAACGTAGTTACAGTTTCAGCCTATTGTTGCTAATCCTAGCTCTTTGATTGGTTAGATTATTCCAACGTTCTACTGGCGACCCCAAGTTTTCAGTATTGTATTGCTATATACATAGATATAAAATATGACATTTGATGAGTCAGCGCTCTTGATCTGCCAGATCTGGGGCCGAATATCGCTCCCATTCCCAATGCAAAATAGTATCTTTTTTCCCAATTTAGACCCCAAGTTTTCCCAATTCTGAGAAAAACACCATTATTTTTCCCAATTCTAAGGGCCCCGGGCCCAAGTCCCAAAATGGGGTGTGATAGCCCTGTGAGTTGAGATAGGTAGTTGGACACTCTTGACCCAGTCTGAAAATGACCCTGGATGTTTTCGGACAATCAACAGACAGATTGTACTGGTATTGACTGTTGTTTAGTAAGATTGTGTTGAAAATGTATCAAACCAACAACAAATACATGATATATTGATAATGGATTATCATAGAAATTTTCATATTTTTATACTAGAACAACATTTACATGATATATTGATATTGGATTATCATAGAAATTTTTATACAAGAACAACAGCATTTAGAGTATAAGAGATTTTTAGTTCAATTTTTTTAGCGATTGCTTTTAAAGAATTCCTGAACCCTGACAGTCCAAGGATAATTCTGTAGGAGGCCAAAGCAGCCTTGGCCTTCCGAACTGAAAATGACCCGACCATTTTTCCATTTTTATTAAAATTTTGTATATTATGATTGCCGCCTTAATTCTGACACTGTCTCAAAATTACTGAAAATGGCCCGGTGCTTTGAGATTCCATGATTTCATCTGCGATCATTACAAATGGTGTGTAACAGACGCTTTGTTTTACAGGGGATTTACTGATCATCATGGCACAGATTATAGTGTCCGTACAGATGGTTTATGAAGAGAAGTTTGTTGCAAGGTACAGAGTCAGTCCATTGTTGGCTGTTGGATACGAAGGTGAGTTCTGTAGAGTTTGTTGTCCAGTAAAATATCTTCTAGCCAATACAAGGAGACCTGCCTCAAAATGATCCTGACACAGTACAAACCAAGCAAAATAAAACAAACTAATGAAATTCATTGCTGGATTTCTGTTATATTGTAGTTCTCTGTCAACAGTAGCTTTTCTACTCTTGTGTAACACCATGTCATCTTATATATTATGTGAGTTATCTTTTCATTTAATTTTATGTAACTATACTTAACAAAATAAAAAAAGTTTATCAAGATTTATATTGGCGGCAGTTATATTAGGTTTCACTGAAATATGACAAATGAGCAGTCAGTAGGATGTCTGCTTATGGACACTTAAATGCCGCTCAAGTGCGAAGAAAAGTGAAGAAATTTGTTTTGTTCTATGAATGTTCTAACAGTCTTAGAATTTCATACCTAACTGATTTCAATGAACATTTTAGCATTTTCAAATTCTTCTGGAAACTCCTGAATGGATTTTAATGAAATTTAAAAAAAAAAAACCTTCCAGGCCTAAAACTTGTAAATTATATGGTCCTCAACCCCCACAGGCCTGAGGGGTAGGGCTAAAAAGGGTCAAATTAATTGAAACTTCAAAAATCTTCTTTTCAAATCCCAGGTATCGTAGAATCAAGTACTCTCTTGGATAGAAAGACCTTCAGATGCTTTACCAAATTTGTAAATTTCATGACCCCATTGTCTCACATTTCCCCCAGGGGAGGGAGCAAAATTTACTACATTTTAAATAGTAAAATTACAATTTTTGAGCTTTGTTAATTTTTTTTCAGAAATAGTTCAAACTTGGTTGGAATTTTTTCTATTACCATAAGCTGACAGTTTGTTGAGATGCACATATTGGCTATGACTAACCCCCAGGACTGATGGGCGGGACCAAAAATGGGTCAAATTGAATATGATTTCAAAAATGTTCCCCTTCCTGGATGACAGATTTTATATAGAAAAATTAAAGTCTTGATTGTAATTTCATTTAATTCAAACTTGTTTAAAGCCTTAGCATGGGACAGCAGTTTATGTATACATAATTTACATTTTGTGTACAATATAGTTTTAAGTTATATTACTTTTTTTAACAAAATCATTTCTATGACATGTTACATGAAGCATTGTGACTCAGGTGACCGTTAAGGCCATTAGGCCTCTTTTTTATTTGTTAAGTATGCCTGTCGTCAAGGAGATAGCCATTAACTTTTCCAATTCTATGCAACTACTTGTCATCAAGTGAAATATTATACACAGAACTCTGATGTATATTTGTCTAGCTCAGTTACATTTTTGATATAAGGATATGTATACACTGGTGTGGCATACTCTCAAAATGAAGCTTAGGTACCAACTCCTATGTATTTATCAATATTTACATGAATGATTAATAAGTCTGCTTAAGTGTATACAGTCTTTGTCATTATATTTACTGTATGTACCCAGTAAATGTGTGATGTTGGCTTACATTCCCAATTCTGATACAATCATATATTAACATAATATTTTCAGTGTGAAAAGCGTTTTGTGTACATTGAATGCATACAAAGTGATATGAACTTGTTTTAATGTAAATATCATTGATGCAGGTACAGAAAACAAGAAAACAGTCCTTAATCGTCTTGATTATTGTAGTTAATTTGACGTGTGATGATGATGTCTAATGTTTCAGTAATCGACCATGCTGTGTAATAATTCTATGTTTCAGGCCTCTGGGGATTTATCATACTTGGGATATTGTTGGTTCCATTTTACTTCATACAAGCTCAAGTGTTTAGTAAGCTTCCTACTCACAGACTAGAGGACCCACTTGATGCCTTCAGACAGATCAGTAACAACTGGCAAATAGCTGCTGCTGTCATAGGTATGTCATTTGATGATGTTTTAATAATGATAAACAGATTTAGAAAATATAGTTTTTAGGCCATCTGACCGAAGGGTTTGATGACCAATTGCGATCGCCTTTTGTCCGGCGTTGTCCGGTGTACGTTGTCCAGCTTCCGTCGTAAACATTTTCAACTTCTTCTCAAGTTCTACATGTTTCATGGAGTTGAAACTTACCTGAAATGATCGTGACATGATCCTGACCAAAGTTTGTTCATTTCTGGTTGGTCTGAAATCCAACATGGCCGCCATCTTGAAAACACGTTTTCGACTTCTTCTCAAGTTCAAAAGTTGAAATCTTGTATTTTATGTCAGATGACCATTAAAGCCCATCGGCTTCTTGTTTCTTCAACTGATGACCCAAGATAAAAAAAAAACAAAAACAAAAAGTTTGTCATACCATAGCAATGAAAGAAAATAGAAATGTCCTAAACAACATCAACGCTCTTCAGATATTTTGATATTCTTACATCCAATTGTCACGATTCTCGACACATGTATTCATAAACACCAGCGTTTGTTTGGGTTCATGTTACAGGCTGCATTTCTCACTGATTTCTTTGGTAGTTGATCTGCAAAAAAATCAACAATTTCACAAGATTACTTTTCAACTTTCTGCAGTCTAAAACTGAGTCATTGTTACTATAGAAACAAGGTCACCACTCTACAGACAGCACTTTTTATCCAATTGTTATGATACTTCACTCAGGTGTTCACAAACACTCCCTGTAATATGAGTTAGCCTTTTATTTCTGATGGTAAATACTAGGTAACCGTTACTATCAATGGAAAAACAATGTGTCTGCTTCACAGGCTACAGTTCTTATCCAATTGTCATGATACATCACTCAGGTGTTCACAAACACCCTCTCTTGTTTGAGTTAGCCTTTCCATTTTCTGATGGCAAAACTAGGTTACATTTACTATAAATAGAAAAATGATATCACCATTCTGCAACCTGCAATTCTGTCACAAGCTAGATCTGTGTGTATTTACAGGAAAAACAACATTACTGCTCTACATGCTGAATTTCTTATCTGATTGTCACAATACTTCATACAGGTATTCACAAACACTATTAGACATTTAGATACATTTCTCACGGGCAGACCAGCTAATGGTTAAATTACTTTACATTTCCCTGTACATCTACCATTTTGCACAACTTGTGGGGTGCCAGGGTATATTCTGTGATGTAACAGTTGATGACTTTCTCCTGAAAATAGCAAAAATTTCATTTGTGAAAAACCACCATCGTTTGTGTTACTAGTTCATTTGCATTATTTTTACTCTTCAGGTAACATAGTGAGTATAGCCTTTTTCAATTTCGCTGGAATTAGCATCACGAAGCTACAGAGCGCCACCACCCGTATGGTTCTTGATAGTGTTAGAACATTGGCTATCTGGCTCGTCTCAATTTGTCTCGGATGGCAGGCTTTTGAGGTATTACAAGTATTTGGATTCCTGTTGCTGATTTTGGGTATGTGTCTGTATTATAACATTATTGTCCCAATCATAATACGACACCTGCCTTGTCGTCGTCAGAACCCTGCCACAGAGGAAGAAAACGAACCAATTCTACAACAAAACGCTCCAGGTAAGATTTTCTCCGATTTCAAATTAAATTGGGTATGATTTTTATAAGATAAGTGTGATTCTAAAAGATAATACAAAGTTATTTCTCAATAAAATGCTGGTTTTATTATTAGAAATATAGTATTAATCAGTAGTGGGTGCTTGGCTACTCAAAGGCTTCTCAACAACCTATTGTTATACATATTTGATCTGATGTGAGTTTCAGTTTTATACAGTATGTTATTAGCCCGACATCAATTACCCTGCATCTGTGGTCAGTCGTCTGTCCATCCTTATACAATTCTTGTTATAGTTATTTCTTGAACAGTACAGGATGGATCGCTCTCATATTTCCTATGTAGGTTTCCTTGGTCCTTAGCTTTGCCTGAAAAAAAAATGGCTGGCAGGTGACCATCTAGGATTTTTACAATGAATGTTTGTTAGTATATTTTTGGAGATGTATTGGGTGCATCTTTCTCAAATTTCATATGTTGTTTGGTAACAAAAATGACTGACATGTGACGATCTTTGACTTGGTAGTTAAAGATTATCATTGCTATATTTCTCAAAAGAATGTTTAAATTTCATATTATGAAGAGCAAAAACAAAGAAAGGAAGGAAAAATATTAAACTTTTAAATAAATAATATGAAACAATGGTGGGTGCCAAGATCCCTCTAAGATCTTTTGTTTAATTTTTGTGACCATTTGGCTAGCTGAAATAAAACATTTGTTTGTATCAAAATGAATGGAAGATCACATAATTCATACAAACATTGTAGAAAATATTTCAGCTCTACATTTCTATCGTTACATAATGATTCAAAGGAGATTGATTTAAAGGTGGGCAGAAAGTTGATATCAAAGTTGAAATATATTGTGTTATATTTTATGTATCTGAGGGCGAATACAAGGGTGAGGGTGGCAGAAGACAGAAAGAATGAAAAGTTAGGGGGGAGAAACATTTAATAGAATAATGAGATACTAGTACATAAACATGTAAGAATATATTATGATAACCATATTTAATACTTGTCCTCTTTACTTTTTAGGTATACAAGAAAATGCATAAACACCTGGTACTGCTCCTGACATTCCTGGTGATGATGCAGTTATTTAGAACAAGTAAACTCTAATTATTAAGTTTGTGTTTGATTCGTAAGGGCTTTCCAGACAGTTATACAGGATGTATTGAAAATGATATGTATATTAAATCTAGAATTATACATTGATAAGTTTTGTAGAATATTTATGGATGGTAAAACAGATAAACTGGCTGTCATCCTCTTACCCAATACAGAGCCATGAATGACATTCTTGTGTCGCATGAGTTGTCCTCACATAGATATGGAGAATTCATGTAAAATAATGTGTTTTTGGTGCTTTAGTGTACAGTGGGGAATCCCCAATGTGTACAATGGGAAATCCCTGATGTGTACAGTGGGGAATCCCCGATGTGTACAATGAGAAATCCCTGATGTGTACAGTGGGGAATCCCTGATGTGTACAGTGGGGAATCCCCGATGTGTACAATGAGAAATCCCTGATGTGTACAGTGGGGAATCCCTGATGTGTACAGTGGGGAATCCCTGATGTGTACAGTGGAGAATACCTGTAATACTACATATGTATATATAATGTTATTTGTTTATACTTTGTACATTAAGAAAATCCTTGTGATACATTCACTACAATGTGTATACACGCTCTTCGCTGTAGTTTATCTAGGAATCCCTGTGTTACTTCTGATGTAGTATATATGATATATTAATTAAATTTGTAACAGGAAATCTCTTTTCTGCTATAAATGTAGTAGGAGATCCCTGTGATACTCTATAAAATATTTCAGGTCCCAAGGTATATTTATCAGATTACTGTTACACTGTGTAGAAAACTGGTTTTAGTGATATAACTCTGGTTTCCTTGGGCCAATCTAGATCAAACTTCATACAATGCTTCCTTACCAAAAGTGCTTGCTTCAATATCCCAAGTTCTAAGGTCAAGGTCACTGTTATTATAGATAAAAAAACAGATTGTTGAATGTAATTGTTAGTATGGGTTGAGGGGGATTTCCAGCCACAGGGCCCTTGTCTACCCTGTCAGTGTTCTAGATTACAGGTGTGATTCACTTGTTTATCATTTGTATAATCTTTGAAGTGTTATATATAGGAGATTCTGTTCTTTATATAATGTGTCCACATGGAATGTGGTCAATGTCAACTCAGAAGTTTTTTATCTACCAAAGTTTCAACTAAATGGTGCATCATAGTATTTGACTTCTTCTACCCTATAACAACTCAGCTGTTATCTGGGGTAAGTAGAATTCTAAGATGGTCATGATTAGCTGACTTGAAAGCCATGAAATTGTTAAATCACCTGACTCAAAGGGCCAAGTGAGCTTATGCTGTAGCATGGCATCTAGCATCAATGTTTTTCTTTCAACAAAAACCTGGCAAGGTTTGCAAACAAAATTACCTTGACATATATTCAAGGTAACAGGTCAAATTTGAAAACCTTCAATCAACTCCTTCTCATGAACTAAAAGTCCTAGAGGCATTATACTTGGCTGGTTTACTCCTTGATTGAAGCCTGACAATGTCTGTGATGAAAAATTACCTTGACATATGTTCATTGTCACAGATGTCAAATTTGTTTGTTTTTAATGACTTCTTCTCATGAACTAAAAGTCCTAGAGCCATGATATTTCGTGTGTATGTTCCTATTATGAAGCAGGACAATGTTTGGGAAAATAATTGACCTTGACTTATATTCAAGGTCAAATGACTTCTTTTCATGAACTAAAAGGCCTAGAGGCATGATATTTGGCTTGTATATATATATATATATATATATATATATATGTATATACCAGGTGAGTGCTGCTGGCCTATTGGGCCTCTTGCTTTGGTATGTGGTGGTTACACAATATTTTTGGTTATGTCTGGAATATAGCTCACATTGTATATGAGGGCGTCCAAAAGTCCAACACAATGCTGAGAGAGGATTATGGATCATGTGGAGTATACCATTGATTGTAATACAAGTTCTTTTTATGGTCAAATGTCTGTGTTTGTCAGCATCCCACTTCATTCTCATTATGCTTATCAAAATAACCTTTATTTCTTCAAAATTTTAATCTTGTTGTAGTATTTCTCCCACAGCTTTCAGCCCATCTTTTCTGGACTAGGTAGGTTTTGTAAATATGACATGAACATCAGGAACAGCAATGTGATTCATTGATTTTGAGTCATTGGCCTTTGTTTTTTTTTTTTTTTCTAATGATAATATTGTCCGGTATAGTATAATGAATGTCGGGCTGGCAGGGAAAAGGGGTACCAGTTTTGTAGAATCAACTCCTAGTGTTTTTGGCGTAGAAGCTTGAAACTTTGTAGGATGTTTATATATATGTTGAAGATATGCACCTCCTATTATGGATTCATTTCTGACATTTTTCTGGACATCTCCGAATCAAAAATCAAAAAAGGCTGCAACTTCTTTCTTCAAATGTCCTTCTTCAGCACCAAACATTCTACATACTCAACAAATGAAACACCCTTAACTGTCTTATAAATACCATATAACATTGCATTCATCCCGCAACCCGGCCAATTGTGGCTTTGCCCCATTTTCTTTTTTTATTATATCTCCTCCATCAGTTTAATACCAATTTCAGCAAAACTTCGAAAGCTTTATAACTGTAATATAAGGTTGTGTTCCCTTAACAGGCATTTTGATTTAACAACTGTTTCAAAGGGTTATCTCCACTCGTCTTTTTTAGCAGTTTATCTTATTCAGAGATTTTTTGATTGAGTTTTTAGCTACCTCTTTGAAACCAATTATACTTATCATCAAAGCATTGAGCAATATTTGCCCTCAACACAATATTTCTATTTCAGTATTTCTGTTCGTTTTAATACAATAGTATATTATCTTTGACATGAGAAGATTAATATCCTGCCAGCCCATGCTACTCTTCTACAATGTGCCAATGCTTTCGTACTCAGGCTTCAATCTAGTCATATTTGGTTTCGTTCATTTGCGAGTTATCTTTAACCTTCATTTCACGCTGTATAAAAGTACATTTAAAGTTTTGCCTATTAAACTTTTTATTTTTATTTCAAGATGTTATACATATATTAACGCTTATATGAACAACTGTTTAAAATCAGCCGGCAAAATGACCTGGCATCATGTATTCCTTATGCTCCAGAGTTTACTGGTTTTCATTCTGATGTAGGGGCAAAGGGTTATCACCAAAACCTACACAGAAATTTAAAAATGGATGTACCATAAAAACCTTTCTATGAGTTTGACACTAACTACAAAGAGAGCTAATATGTACCAGTAATAGGTTTCTAGCCTGAAGAACCTAAATATTAGGAAACCTCTCAACTTATTAGTTTGGAAATAGTTTGCAAAGGGTAATTTTTCACAGGTCAAAATTGTCGCCATTTTCTTTTAAACAGTCAAAATATATCTTAATCAAAATTCTGCAATCTTAATATAAAAGGACACTCAATACAGTGTCTCATTTTTTCACAGATGAAATTTTAGTGATCTTGTTACTGTTCCACAAAGTAACAAAAATATCCCCACAAATTAACTGGCTATACTGTGCAATATTAGAAAAATTCAGACTTGGGTCTGTTAAAATTAATGTCATAGAATCCCAATAGTTAAAGGGATTAAATGATTTTTGATTGAATCATGTGAACTAAGTATAAGTACAATGTAGGAAGCTAAACAAGAGCTCCTCTCTACAGTACCGTGCATTAGTTAAAAGTATGGCTGGGGGATTCCCTTAAACTGATGTGAAAATAAAATAGCAAACAATCCGTGTCCTTTTTCAGTGTTAAATTATACCTATTGTCATTATTTAATGTCTGAAATGTCAAATGTATTTTTTTGTAAATATTGAATTTATATATTTTGAAATTGTATATTTTATCATAGCACCAGTATATTTTGTGAATGATACATTTATATCTTGGTAACTTTTTAAAAATTGTTTTGTCAAATATCGCATTCATGATCTCCAGCTCACAAGGCTGATGCTGGATGTGGTAGAGATGAAGTCTACTTTGTTGAGTCAGTGGGAAATGAACAATATTTTACTTCTTACTTCTCCAGGAGCTCAAGTTTAGGGGTAACAGTGACACAAACAACCCCCTGGGTCCGTATATAGGGGTAGCAGTGAAACACAAAACCTTGTGGCTCCCTATACAGGAGTAACAGTAAAACACAAGACCTCCTCGGTCTTTATATAGGGGTGACAGTGAAACACAAGACCTCCTCGGTCTTTATATAGGGGTAACAGTGAAACACAAGACCTCCTGGGTCCCTATACAGGGGTGACAGTGAAACACAAGACCTCCTGGGTCCCTATACAGGGGTTACAGTGAAACAAAAGACCTTCTTGGTCCCTATACAGGGGTGACAGTGAAACACAAGACCTCCTGGGTCTTTATATAGGGGTAACAGTGAAACACAAGACCTCCTGTGTCCCTATACAGGGGTAACAGTGATGGTTGTGAGAGCAAGACAAGACCTCCTGGGTCTTTATATAGGGGTAACAGTGAAACACAAGACCTCCTGTGTCCCTATACAGGGGTAACAGTGATGGTTGTGAGAGCAAGACAAGACCTCCTGTGTCCCTATACAGGGGTAACAGTGATAGTTGTGAGAGTAAGAAAAGACCTCCTGTGTCCCTATACAGAGGTAACAGTGATGGTTGTGAGAGCAAGACAAGACCTCCTGTGTCCCTATACAGGAGTGCCAGTATTTCAAGACCTCCGTGGGGGATTGAATCGGAGACCTCTGGCTCTCACGACTCGACCAGTTATCAGCTGAAGTGAAGTTTGCTGTGGCAGTAGAAAAGCTTGGAAATTAATGATTTGCTTTAACACATGCTTATTGTTAGGAATAAACTTACCACAAGAACAACTACATAAAAATTGTATTGTAATGATCAAGAAAGAAATGCCATTTTATGCTGCTTATATATTCCTTATAGTTTTGTTGTAACATAGACGTGGATATTGATGTTTATGGTTGTATGTAGCTGTTTTTTTTATATAAGAAACCACCGTCTCATGTTTTGTATTTTCAATTTAAACATTGCTTGAAGGAATATTAAAGATTCTCATAAAAGTGTTGTATGGGTTTGAATACTTATTTCTAAGCATCAAACAAAATCATAATGCTTATTATGAAGATAATTAATAAAAGATTAGAAAATTCGTGTAATTTTTAATATTAGTGATGGAAGGAAATCTAAATGCAAAGACTGGAAACCAAGGCCTAGTTTTAGTTCACCGAGCTGTAAAGTCATCTCAGTTGTTATCTACACCTACATACATATGCCTCCAGACTGTAGTTAGGATCAGCACGGACTAGTCTGACCAGAGCGATTATCTACTCCTACCTACATATGCCTCCAGACTGTAGTTAGGATCTGCACCGACTAGTCTGACCAGAAGGATTATC